TACCACATTATGAAGATTGCTAATATTGCAGTAGTTATGATATGTAAGAAATTATCTACAGATAATTAAAGGTATAACTCAACACTTTTCTAGAATATTTTTGATTAATAATGACATGAAACAGAAAAGTAGATTCAACAGCATGCTCCTTATTGTAAAGGAAATTGAAACCAGATACACTGGTGCAATTAGAGAGTAGGCTCTTCTTTAGGTAAGTTCATAAAAAATCTTAACTTCCTATTGATGACAGATTATGTTCATGAAAGGGCCAGGAAATTATAGAAATAAAGATGTTGGGCTTGAAAGAGTTCTTTTATTATCATGACAACTTCCAAACTGTATTTGGTTTAGTTTGATTATTGGCCTAGATTTATATGAAATGCTTTACAAGTATGGAATTAGAGCTTTTCCTTATGTCCTGTAGTTTGCAATGGCAAATGGAACTTTGGTCCGTGTGCTCATCCACACCGATGTTACCAAGTATTTGAACTTCAAGGCTGTAGATGGTAGTTTTGTGTACAACAAAGGGAAGGTATGTTTGTTAAAGCACTATGAGGTGTAACTTCCGTTCCAATTTTTGTTGGTAGAAAACTTCTTATTCTCACATAACTTTCTCGTGAAACTGCTATCTTTAGATCTACAAAGTTCCAGCAACTGATGTTGAAGCCCTGAAATCCCCATTGATGGGGCTCTTCGAAAAGCGCCGAGCTCGGAAGTTTTTTCTTTATGTGCAAGATTTTGAAGAAACTGATCCTAAAACTCATGAAGGGATGGATTTGAACAAAATCACTGCAAAAGAATTCATTGCGTAAATTTTCTTTTCTCATGTGTTTTTGATTGCCTTGCTTAAACATATTGGTGAAGGCTGCATACCTAGTAATATATAGTTAAAAACAGTTTCTTCCACTCTTTGGTAAGTTGTTCTCGGCAAATATTGTTTATGCAGGAAATATGAACTTGAAGCTGATACCATTGACTTTATTGGACATGCCTTGGCACTCTATACCGATGATAATTATTTGGACCAGCCAGCTATGGATTTCGTAAAGAGAGTAAAGGTGTCAAATTAAGTTTGACTTGTTCAGCTTAGTATTTCAGAAAGTATATAAAATTGTTTTGATGAAGATATTATCACTAGCTTATTTTGCTTCTGACGCCATTTAAAACTTCACATTGACATGAGTGTAAATATCTGGTTTGTGATTGCTGATGAGCTTGGTGTGACTTATTCTAGTTACTAAATCTGATTGAAAGCATGGTATATGTATGCTTTATTCCATGACCATGAGAGAAAAAAGAAGAAATTAAGGAAGTTACAATTTTACCATGTTTTATACATATAAAGTGTAGAGCCTCATACAAATTTTATTCGTGTGATGAGAGAAAACCCGCATATACTTAAATTATTTGTATATCACTGTATTCTTAGGTCCACCACCAACTCTCTTGCCATGGATTGAAGACCTTTGCAAAGTGAAATAGAGTGTTGATATAATCCTATCATCTAAGATGTGTCCTACACTATGATTACTTTATGAGTTGTCAACTGATAGTCTTATGGTAGGTCTCCCACAAAATGCTCTAATGAATACATTATCACAATCAAGATATAACTGAAATGCCAAATGCTAGAAATATGATGTGATGATAATTCCGCTTCCTTTCATATGAATAGAACTATTTTTGTAACTTATACAAAAACCAAATAGTTTGATTACATAAGCTAAGTTATGCCTTCTTCTTTTTGAGATAAAATAAGCTTGACACTTAGATGAACGGTGCTTGAACAAGGATTACTTTTTCCTTTTTCCTCTTTCCTCTTTCTTTTGATTATGAGAGGATTAATTGTTACTATCGAAATTCTTTGTTTAAAGAATTACTTAATGACTACTTTGTCTCTTGGTTTTTAAAGTTATATGCAGAGTCTTTAGCACGCTTTCAAGCAGGATCCCCCTATATTTATCCAATGTATGGATTGGGAGAATTACCACAGGTTTCTCTCCTTTGATATCTTTCGTCAGTCATATTTGAGCAAATCTAAGTTCTTTTCTGTATATGATTGGTGCACATGTTTTCAGGCATTTGCACGTCTGAGTGCAGTTTATGGCGGAACTTACATGCTTAACAAACCACAGTGTAAGGTAATCATTGAAAATTTGAAATCATCTGTAGCTCATTTGGATGCTTAACTATCACCATATAAGGTAAGTTTCACAAATGTTTTAGCACCCAGAATGTGATCTAACATCTACGCCTCTTCTCTCCTGATGGGAAAAAACAATTCTAAAACGGGATCAGGATCCCATATCCTCATATTGTAATTTTAAGTATGGCATATTATTTTATAAGGAAAGCTGAGATGATCATGCACTCAGCTGTCTGTTCTACGTCAAATGCCGAAGAATTCTACATGGCTTACATACTCATTGAATTAAGTTAGAAGTTTATGTGAACACTCAGGTTCTAAATTGCAGGTAGAGTTTGATGAAAATGGAAAAGTTGTTGGTGTGACTTCTGAAGGAGAAACTGCTAAATGCAAGAAAGTTGTTTGTGATCCCTCCTATTTACCTGATAAGGTACAATTAACAAACGGAAAAACTAAGATGTCCAGGCTTTCTGCACTGTCGATTCATGTCTTGAAAATTTGCTTAATCATCTGCTGAGCAGAAAAAGGATCAGATTGGTTATTTCTATTGACAATTTATTTATACCAATACGTAATGCAGGTCCAAAAGGTTGGAAAAGTTGCTCGTGCAATTTGTATAATGAGCCATCCAATCCCTGACACTAATGATTCTCATTCAGCCCAGGTCATTCTACCACAGAAGCAACTTGGTCGCAAATCAGACATGTATGTTTTCTAGGCTTCCAGATAGTCTACTGAATTATCATTTCCTATTTTGTGGTGTACTATAGCGGGAAGTCTCTGGCAGTGCAAGCTTTCTGCTTCTAAAGATAAAGAATACAAAGCATCCTAACTTTGACCTTACTTATATATGCCATTGACTAGTAATTAAGTCCTCTTTTTTCTAAACAATTGTTGAGAAGTGACTGCCACTGTTTATTAAGTCCTAGACTTCGTTACATGTTCACTAAACCTGTTCTGCTGTTTGGAGAACTTGAAAGATAATTCAGAGCTACTTATTCAACATGCCGGTTACAGGTACCTGTTCTGCTGTTCCTACTCCCACAATGTCGCTCCAAAAGGGAAATATATTGCCTTTGTTTCGACAGAAGCTGAAACTGATGACCCCGAGACAGAACTGAAGCCTGGGGTAGACATACTTGGGCCTGTAGATGAGATATTTTATGAAACTTATGACAGATTCGTACCTTCACATGACTCTGCTGCTGATAATTGTTTCATATCTAAAGTAAGTTCCAATATTAGTTGCTAGTTCTTATTCTATTTCTACAACTATTTCTTCTGAAATATATACAGAGGTATGACTGTGTTATAACTGTTGAGTCCCACATCAACAATGAAGGGGATGGGTGGTCTCCTTACATGGACTTGGGCAATCCTCACCTCTTGAGCTAGCTTTTGGGGTTGAGTTAGGCCCAAGGTCTATTTATCAATAACTTATTAGTACAATGAGCTTTTATTTCTCCTGAGGATTTATAGATATTTTATACATATATTCCCGAATGCTATAGAAGCATCACTGAAAGCAGAAGGGGCGCTATGATTTTCTTTCTGACTTACTGAACGTTGCCCTACATTATGTGCAATTACTGCCACTCAAGGGAACTGTTCTTCATAATCTAGTAATACCACTTAGGCGGAAAATTAATTATAATAGTAATGTCTTGCCAGCTTAGGCATGCCCTCTCTTGCATATAGAGTTAAAATATGTGTAGTCCTTTCATCTTAAATCACACTTCCTAAAGTCTAAAAACTCTATGGTAGACTTCTTTCCTGCCACTCCAATGTCTCTATTTACTTTATTCTGCAGTTCATAGTTTAACTTTCTTTTATGATCTAATTACTATGTATTATCCTTTCTTGCAGAGCTATGATTCAACAACACACTTTGAGTCCACGGTAATGGATGTGCTAGACATGTACAGCAAGATAACAGGAAAGGTAAGACTCTAGTTTGAATTTGGTTATCCGATGACTTTTCAATTGACGATATGCGGCAGTTACACTTACATAGCACATATATCAAGACTCAAGTGCATGCATGTTGACTGACATAAGGTTGAAAATGATGCCTTCAACTAAAGAAATGTTGGAGGCATTAATTGGTCATAGAATATAGCTAGTATTATTGATAGGGAACACGCGAACGCACACGGTGTATATCCATGCATCATCAAAATATGCTGTTGAACTCGAGTCTTCATCTATCAACAACAAAACACCCTTTTGTTCGAATAACTTATCAAAAGTTTCTGGTGAAAAACGGGTTCTAATTAAACTTATTACCTTCTACTGTTTGACAAATATCTTCTTTCTTTTGACATTGCGTGAATGGTTGTATGTGTAATGAACTTATTGACATTTCTATGCCATATTAGCTGTTTATTCGTGCATTTTTCTTTTGTTTAGGTTGTTGACTTGTCAGTGGACCTGAGTGCTGCAAGTGCTACTGCTGAAGAATAAGCTTATTGTATCCACATCATTATGCTGCAAGTATAAGTCAGTAGATGTCAATTCTGTCTTACATTCAGTAAAACTCCCTAGTTGATTCCTAAAACAGACTATTGGAGGGAAGCACTTACTGTATGTGTTAGGTGATCTTGCAGTAATTGCTTTCTCAACTTTTGGAAAGGTTTAGAATAGTTTCTACAAATCCTTTCCATTATTAGTTTATGCTTACTGTTGTACTGATTCATTTTAAGGATTTAATAATTTTCCTTTGGTCAAGGATGATGGCGGAATTTTAAATTTCTATTTTGACTCTGGAAATTGGATCATCATCACATAAATTGGGACAAAGGGAGTATAAAATTGAAGGTCCTAAAGAATGTCAGATGTCCACAATATGGCCAACACCTCCAAAGGTGTTTAGTGGAATTATGTACTTTAGAAGTCACAATTCACTTTAAAATATATAGTTCTTTCTAAAGTATTTTTTTAATGGTATCCAAGCTCAGCTTGCACACTGCTCATAATATATAAACGATTATCTCATCTCTGTGCAATTCATAGTAATGCTGACCACCATTAAAAATCTAAGCATGGGCTTATCTCATCTCCAACTTAAATAGAATTTTGGGTTATTCTTTTGTATTTTCTTTGCACTTTATGCAACTGTATTTAATTAGAATTGAGTTACAAACTATTAATTGGAATCTTTTGCAACTTTTTCAAAATTTTCAAATGTAAAGTTTTAAGTTTCATTTAAGTTGGGACAAAAGAGAGGCAAAATCTTTGGCGTGGAAAGTGGGCAAAGGTACCGTTGAGGCTGTGCAAAAGGTACGATCGTCCACAATGACAAAGAGGAATAGCCGAAAGAAGAAGACGAGTAGCAGCAACAGCCAAAGCCCTAGCAATCACAAATTCTCCATTTTTGAGTTTAACCCCGACGATGAGTGCGTTGAGAAACACTCCAAAAAGTTATTGCAAGCATTTAAACTTCAAAAACCTAAGAAATCCCATTCCCCGATCGATAAGTACACCTTTCTCGGCTTCTGTACGTTTCTGCAAAACCCTAATTTTGTTTCAGCGTACAATTTTTGTATGAACATAATGTAGTTACGTTTTCTTTGCTGCTCTTTTATTATACTAGTGCAAAACATTGTTTTTCACTTTATCATTCTACCGCCGGAAGAAAAACGCAACTTCTGAGTTGTGTCTAATTAAGTTAAGAAAAGGGGGAAAATATGAAACTTGAAAGATAACAAGACGATTGTAAAAAAAGGAATAAAAGTGATGAACATAGGAATGAAGGTAATGACGAAGACCGAGAATGTACTCAGGTTGAGCCTGTACCATGCATTAATACATGGGGATAACGGACACATTGACCGGAAGTATCAACAACGAGAATAAGTTGATGCATATATCTAGGAATTGAGAAACAGAAGTTTTGTGGTGTAACTTATTCTTGCAGTTTCTTCTTATCAGATTTTGCTCAAAGTATATAATAATAGTGTTTATGGATTCAATTAAATTGATACATCTCCATGAAACATATATAATGCTTTTGCATTCATCCTACTTGGTTTAACTAAAGGAAGCCATCTTCTTAAAATGTACATGCTCTTGGTTTTGAATTAATTGAAGATGAATGACATTTCTATAAGATCTGTGAAACTATTTGGCTTAAACTAGGTGACATCTATTTTCTGTTTGCAGATTCCTTTCGGTATTTTTTTTCATTGCTAACTTTCCCCCTGTTTTTGTCCAGCAGGCTTTTAGTTTATCTTGTTTTTTTTTTCTTTTAATTATAGAAGTGCTGATATTCTATTTAACAAATTTTCCTTAGTTGAAGGAAGAACAAGGAGTTCAGAAAATGATTCAGTGAATGAAATCCTACACATTGATGATAGTGATGATATTGCAGAAAAGAAGATATTGGAGTCAGGTGCCACTGTGGCATCTAGCTTTTCAAGTTCGAAGCCTTCAACGGATTATTCTCTTGGTCATCTTGAGTCAAAATGTGACACTTCCGGGGCCAAATCCCATTTAACAAGAGCGAAAATACCTGGATGCTCTGACACTGATGGCAAAAGTTTTAGGGGAAGACTTTTTGCTGATGTACCCATCTTTCTCAATTTCTCATGTTTCAAACTTTACATACTTCTAACATATGCTTTATGACTATGCCATCCAAAACTTCTGCAGAATGAGCCAGTTATTCTAGATTCAGATGATGCTACTGAAATCGTATCATCCAAGCCGGCCTGTTATCTGCCAGAAAATAAGGGTTTGCTTAAATTATATCATATCATATTTTCAACGGTTGCTCATATAAAGCCACTTATTTGCTTATGAAGATGTTCTGTTTTAATCATTTTAGGTTCAGGAAACCAGCAAGAATTGATGCAAAGTCCTAATCTATGTGATAAAGTGAGCATGCCTCTTGTAGTCTTTGCTGTAATTAAATAACTTTGTTTTTCAGAAGTAAAATGATATTAATTCTTGTATCTGATAGAGCAAACCTCTGTGCTTTGTTTGCTCCATCATTGACTATAAATCCTTTTCCAGCTGATGTGTTGTTCACAATTTCTCTGGTGTAGCTGCTTAACTTTAGGTTAACTGCTTAATATGTGAACCAAATGACCCCCAAATGTATTGTGATGATGAAAGTTACAATTGGAGTTTTTCAAAGCTTGCAGAAAACTATTGTTTATACTTCACTTTTCTTTTTGCTGTCCTTTGCAGAAAAATTCGGTGATTGTTAAACCTGATCGTGTCGAGTATGGAGATACGTGTTCTACAAGCTCCATTTTGACTTTTTCATGCAGTTCCATAAAGCTTGAGGGCTCCTCCAAGTGGATGAACTTACCATTTACATATGAATGGACACACTCTGATATTCTCTCTATTAACTCCATGTGGTGCAAAATTGTGAGTTATAGTGCGTCCTTTATTTTTGTATTTTGCCCCCCCCCCCCCCCCCCCCCCAACCCGAAAAAAGAAAAGGGTGGGGTGAGGGGGAGGGTAAGTGAAGCTTGCTAACATGCGAGTTTACTTTGTTGCTAATGTTAGGTTAAAACTGCCCTTGTGGAATTGCATCTCAAATCCAACGAAAATTCAGGTTTGTGCATTTCAATAGAATACTTTCCCACGTAATGTTTGATGTTGTTAGATAAATGATTTCCTTCTTTTAAATTACAATTCCCAACATTTGAGATTAATTTCATGGTCTCAAGCTGCAACTGGAAAAAGCTAAGTCATGCTCTCCTGCTGGGTTGCTCTAAAGAACCTCCTTCATGCTCTAAAGGAAACACCTTCTTTGTCTTTAGGGTAGATTAATTGTTAGAACAAGGTTGGAGAAGAGAATGCTAGATTTTTCAAATTCAAAATTTATTATCTGTTGGTCATATATGTACTGGAGATGCTGTTGCATGCAACAGTCCGATGGGTCAAGTTTTTGGCTTTTGGAGGGATATGAAACTTGGAGTTGGAAACTGAAAAACGTAGATTTTTCTGTGTAATTTATTAGGGGAGAATATAGGTAGTTTTTTAAAGCTGTGATTCTACAAGTGATTGATCTTTGTTTACATGAATACCTCTAAATTTACAGGCGCTGTTGTGTTAAAGTTTGCTTTGTTCCACCCTGATTGGTCTGAAACACAAGAAGCAATTAAGATGCTGGATGTGAGATACAAAGATAAATGGAATGACATTACATCGTAAGATTCTTCATTGAACAATGTTTTTGATGGTTCATCTCTTATTTTTGGATGTCCTTTGGGATCTTGCTTTCGTTTTTGGCAGTAGAAAATGAAGTTTACTTTTTGTTCCTTTATCTGTATTTATTGTCAACAGCCTCTCCTCCCCCCAGGCAGATCTGTGAGATACTTCTTTCATTGTTTTCTGGATTTGGCTGGCTAAGCTCAATGTGAGACTAGTGTTTCTCTGTGTAATGATTATGCTCTTCCTTTTATGAAGAAAGTAGGTTTTCTTCTTTGATGGACTGTGGGAGCAGAAGAGTTTTTTCCCCACTAGAATTTGTGAGATAATTTGTTTGAAAAAGTTCTCTAGATTTATTCTCTTGGCCTTGTAGGACACACTTGCTGTACCAATTGACTGTCTCAGTTGCCGGAGATGTGAGTGAACTACTAAAATGACGATTTTAATACCACCAATGGATGATGAAGATCAATTTGTTATTGATTTTACCTTCAGTAGCTTTTATAACAAAGAGCAGCCCGGTGGACTAAGCTCCCGCTATGCGCGGGTCTGGGGAAGGGCCGGACCACAAGGGTCTATTGTACGCAGTCTTACCCTGCATTTCTGCAAGAGGTTGTTTCCACGGGTTGAACCCGTGACCTCCTGGTCACATGGCAGCAGCTTTACCAGTTACGCCAAAGTAACTTTACCTTGAGTAGCTTTTAGAATCTTACTGTTAATTCTCTTTCCTCACTTTGATGGAACTTTTAATATCATCATTAGTTCATTACAATGCCTCCTTTGTCAGACTTGATTGCACGAGGAGCTACAGTCCATTTTTTGGGCAGAAAAGCAATTCAATTTCAAAGCATTATCATCCCAAGTAAGAGATACTTATCCTTGTCGCCTTTCAATGTACATCTGATTTGCCGAGTTGACTAAGGTCTAATTTTGGTTGGCCGCGAAAGAATGAACAGCTTTTGTTTCAATTTGCTAGTGGTGATTTAAACGGTTACTGATGTCTGACAGTATGCACACTTATATTTCTATATATTAAACGGGTCCCGGAAACCAGAGGAGTTCCTTATGTCTTTCTCTTTGACTTATGAATCATTATAAAAGGTTTTTTTGTGGCGACATTTCTCTTTTGTTGCCAAAAGATTGACGCAGTTATGAGGTGTAGAGCCAGGAAGAATGACTAGTAATTAGCTAATTTGGCATATAAAGGGTTCATGTAGTTTGAAAGTTCTAGTTTAAGATATATATTCCTCAGACTTTTCTCCTGCCATGTGTTTCTAGCATTCTAAAGGTAAAAACTCAATCTTTACAGTGATCTAATTAAAAAAAAAGAAAGATAGTCGATGTTGACCTTTGGATTGGGTAAAGGTCACTGATTAACGCCTTAAGATTTGTCGTACGCATGCCTCCAAGTTCTGTGTATCTGAAGTAACTTCACATTGTTTGATTCTTGTATCTTATTTCATTATCTACTGTTCCAGAGATAACTTTGAAGAAGTTATTTATCCAGAAGGGGATCCAGGTGCAGTTTCCATAAGTAAGAGAGATGTTGATCTATTACAGCCTAAGAATTTCATCAATGATACCATCATCGACTTTTACATTATGTGAGTTTATATGTACCTGTTTCAATTGGTACTGCCCAGCTAATTTGGTTTGGAATTAAATTTAGCTAACTTTTTGGTTCCTTTTTCTTTCTTTCTGGATCTGGTTATTCATTTGTGTGAATTTAGTTATTCCTGTAAGCATAAATATTGGCATGTGGTTCGTTATCAACATCTGGAAGTAGGATCTACTTTTGTTAACCACAAATAAAAGGAAACATTTAGTGGCTGTGTGACTCTTAGGTCAAATGTTTCTTCATTTTGTTTCAGCTTTTTAATCAGGACAAGTCAAAGTTTACTGCATGATGGACTCCTAATGATTTCATTGCATAGTAGTTGCATCCGAACCAGATTTGGTTATTGCTGTCACAATCCCTTCCTCCATCCCGATTATAGATATTTGTTATTTCTTACAGGCAACATGAATCAACTAGGCAACATGATTCAACTACCTTCATTTGCAGTATATAGGCTCCATGGTAAATGAATATCAGGTCCTCTGTGTAATCCCAGTTCATGCTGTTCACAGCATACAGGAGTTTCTTTTAAGGCTCAATACACAGATAAAGTTCAATCCTTAATGTTTGATAGTTAGCTTGTTTTAACACCTAAGCATGTTGTAGAGTACCAGGGCTTGAGAACAAATTAACCCTGACAATACTAGGGTAGTTATTTATGGAGGATACTGTATGTTACTTTTATAATTTTATTACCTTATATGTGTCTCGATCGTTATCTAAGGGTATAGTATTTCAAAACTCCTATCGGTTGGTTTCCTTATTTTCTATAGATTATACCATCTCCAGATGTTGCTCAAGTGTTGTGTAAACTAAACGTTTATATATATATAGAGAGAGAGAGATAGTTTGTTCGAACGTTTCACATTTGAAAGTAAGCTGGAGATCTACCCAGAATATTTTCGTCTGGTCTTTGACTGTACTGTTTTGCATTATTGCTCTGGAAGTGCCATACAAAAATCCATCTAAAAAATGACATTCAAAAGTGTAAAACCACAAATTTCAACATTTCAAGCTGATGAAACAGATGTTTCATTCATTTATTCTGAAGTTCAGTACTTGTTGTCTCCTGCTTGACACTGTGAAAGAAGGAAAACTCGATTGATGAAATGAATTGCAGGTATCTTAGGAACAAAATCAATCCTGAGGAGAAAGATAGGTTCCATTTTTTCAATAGCTTTTTCTTCAGAAAGCTTGCTGATCTGGACAAAGATCCTACTAGAGCTTGTGAAGGTAGAGCTGCTTTCCAGCGAGTTCGTAGATGGACTACAAAAGTTGATCTATTTGGAAAGGATTTCATTTTCATTCCGGTCAACTTCAGGTTAGAAGCTGTTATAGAGCCATCTTATATGTTAAAACTTTTATGATACAGCTCTCCACTATGATTTTTTTTCTTGTGACAGTCTCCACTGGAGTTTGATAGTCATTTGTCACCCTGGCGAGGTTGTTACCATTAGAGGTATATCAGATGACTTATATGCTTCTGTTTCTAGTTATTATGACTCTTCATAACTGGAGGAAGTTTTTAGGAGAGGAAGAAATGGAGAAATCATCTAGGGTACCATGTATCTTGCACATGGACTCAATCAGAGGGAGCCACAAAGGCCTGAAGAATCTTTTACAAAGGTATAATCCGTTTGAGTTGCATTGACTCACAAGGTTGAGTAGTTATTGATTGAGTCGCAATCATATAAAATAAATTAACTCTGTTTGTATATTATATGAGGTACATCTGTAACCATAGTCTAGTGATAGCATTTGGTCATTCACCTTGCAAGTGAGCATATTGCAAACAATGATATATATGAGATCTCTTTACATTGTAGTGTGTCTGTATTAGTGAAATTCGTTTAGGATTTCACTATGAAAGACTAAGATTGTTTCTTGATTATAATGGAAAGAGAGAATGTCTCATGTCTTGTAAGTGCAGTTACTTATTGGAAGAGTGGAAAGAGAGGCACAAGGAAGTAGCAGAGGATGTTGCAAGGAAGTTCTCGAATCTGCCCTTTTTCAGTCTCAAGGCATCACTCCATTCCCATCTCTCTATCGTGCATTGAAAATGCTTTTTCCTTCAATAAGACGTATTCCTTTAATCGACAAAAGGAGAAGTTTCGGTTATTGTCAACAAAAGCAATGGTTATCTTTTCTAGAATCTATTTATTGCACATATAGAATGAACACTGATTATATGTTAATAATTACAGTTATATTATCATCTTCAACCTCTAATGATGCACTTTTTGTCTCATAATTTTAATTTAGTGAGATTCTGTTAAATTTATTTGACTCTCTAATAAATCACTGTTTTGGGAAAGTAAAAATTTATTAGTTGCAACCTGCTTATTAGTTATGAAACTCCTTCACTTATTAACATCAAGCTTAATATTTTAATCATTCATGAGTCCATTTTTTGTAGGACCCCTTTTTTTTTTTTTTTTTTTTAAAATGTTAACAGTTGTATATATAGCAACACCAAGAGAGTGCTGCAAGCCGTATTTACAATGCCAAAAGGCCAAAAACAAAATTATGCCTTTTTTCTTCTTACAAGGATTTTTGTCGGACTTGTTATAGAAGTAATATAAATATATGTTATATTATTGGGAGTTCAACTTTTCGATAGAATAGAAAGTATATTATAATTGTTTTCCTGATAATTAATAATCTGTAGAGGTTTTCTTAAAAAAAGAACTATTCATTGTGATGTATTAAGTAGATATGGGTAGAAGGTAAATGAGATGTTTTTTCTCTTGGAGTAGCTAGCTGTGATAGCTAAGCTTGATTTGTAATTTCATTACTTGGTGATTAATATAATGTTTAGTTACCCAAAAGAAGTAGATTGGCTGTAACTATAAACATAGAGTGAACTTGGTCTCATAAAATTTATTGTGTTGTGATGTGACAATATGACAAATGGAGATAGAGAAGCTAGTTTTAATCATATTGGTGGCTTTAGATGAGCGAATAGGTAATATTTGAAAACAATGGTTTCTAGGAATAGTTAATTTTCTAAATATTAATTTCAAAAGTATCTAGAGTTTTGATATGCTAAAGGAGTGTCAAACATTTCTGTAAGTCTTAAAATGAAATAGCATAAATTGAGACAAAGGAAACATCTAAGCTGTTAGGATTCTCGTAAAGGTTTATTACATAAACTTGCCTTTGAGGTTGTCATTATACTCTCCCCTTACCTGTGGTCTTAGAAACCACTATTGTTTTATGTTTTGCGTAATGAAACTCATTGTTTTTGTATGATTTTGCTAACATGTCTAACTCTATTGCTTGGAAATAATGCAACTTTATTCTATCATAAATCAGCTTTTGAAAGCTATTTTTTGAAGACAAAAAAGAAAAACAAAAAATAGTTCATGGAAATCTTGAGCAGTTAAAGGATGCCTATATTCAAAAATGGCATTTTCATGGGTGCCTTTCTATTTTTATGTTAAAGTGGTTATCAATTAAATATCAAAAGACTCTGTTTATTAGATGTTTTTGATTACTGTAAATTATTTCTTTTGAATGTAGTGCAAAGTCATCAATTCATGTAGAAATTCTTATTTTGGTTACTCCGAACTCAGAATATACCTGATTTTTTATTGAATCATGTGAACTTAGCTAAAACCAGAACATAGTGAAACAAAAGGGTCTATACAGTTGATACCAGCTAGTTGGATTAAAGGTTAGTTATTGATAAACTTGCATTCGATTCAGTTGGGGATAAGTGTGAGATCTAGACCATCTTCTTATAGAACCAACAATTTGCCTTGTTAGATTGTACTCCATTGGTTGAGGGAATGGATTGTTTCTCCTAGTCTTGATCAAACCTCATCTCATGAGCTAGCTTTAAGGGTTGAACTAGACCCAAATCCCAATATTCATTTTCTTAACATGGTATTAGAGCCAAACCTAATCTTGTTCTCGGTTCACTTAATGTTGGTCCCCTATGTTATATTGGCTACAGTACACTCCAGATGTCCAGTCCTGAGCGTGTCAAGGTTGTTAGAGTGTCCCACGTTTGCTGAGGGAGTAGGTTGTTGTCTTCTTATATTGTTTTGACAATCCTCACCTCATGGGCTAGCTTTTATGGTTAAACCTAATGTCCATTTTCTTAACGGTCTCGAACAATAAATTGTGTACTAATATTGCAAAGACATAGGTCTGAATGCATCATAGGGATCCTTATTTTAAAAAAAGGACAGCGTAGAGATACAAAGGATTCATATAGAGGACTAGGTCGGAATTAAGGCATATTTGTTACTCAAAATTCATATTTAGAATATGGGGAGGTTTTTGTAATGGTCAAAACCACAGGTTAGAAGTGCGATGGAAAGAACTTTTAATTCTTGACTGGACATGTAAATTTATTTTGGGACATGGGAAGAAGTTATTTCCCTAAAACTCTTGAGATTATGAGAGACTATCAACTTGTAAGATGCTAATTGCGATAAAAAGCATCATAGGGATCTTTATTTTGCAAAAAAAAAAAGGACAGCGTGGAGATACAAAGGATTCATATAGAGGACTAGGTCGGGATTAAGGCATATTTGTTACTCAAAATTCATATTTAGAATATGGGGAGGTTTTTGTAATGGTCAAAACCACAAGTTAGAAGTGTGATGGAAAGAACTTTTAATTCTTGACTGGACATGTAAATTTATTTTGGGACATGGGAAGAAGTGATTTCCGTAAAACTCTTGAGATTATGAGAGACTATCAACTTGTAAGATGCTAACTGCGACAAAAAGCACCCTGATTTGCTGTTGAGCCCATCTATTCAAGCCTTGGTGGATGGGATTACCTTGGCTACCTGTGCTTGTGGTGGGGTGGACAGACTATCCCCTGGATCAGTTGATGTGTGTGCAAGCTAGCCCGGCCACCAAGTATAACACACTTCCCCTCCAAAAAGAAAAAGAAAAAAAAAACTAGACCAATTTCCTTAAGTGGAATAATTCTTTTGTATTCAGTATAAATATCTTTTTTTCAGTACAATGTACCTGATAGTACTTTATATTACTTTATCCTTGATTTAACTACTCTTTATAAGTCACCTAGTTAGTCGTTTAATTACTTTTTGAATCATATTCAACATCTCCAACGTAATCATCTGCCTGCACTTTTTTCTTTAATCTCCACTGCAAGCACTTGGGCCTTATAAAGTGCAGCTGGTGGAGGAAAATACAATTGGTTTTTTAAATCTGCATCTGTTACATTAAGAATTGTGATTTTTCAAATTTCAAATCCTCATGCCTGCTGAATGCTACAGTTTTACAGATTGATTTTGTCTTTATGTACTATTTGAGAAAAATAAACTCAATCTTTGGTCTATGTGATGTAGGTTTTGTACCATTGGATAAGCAATCATCTCTTTCTTCTACTACGATATGCCCCATTGCATTTTCACTGCTTTTTGGATTGAACTGCAGAACTGAAATTAGCTTTTTATATCCTTAGTTCATCCAGCAAAGTCCGTTAGTTGAGAACTTTGCATACTCCTGGCATATTTTTGTTTACAAATTTAGCATTTTTCTGCTTTTTTCAATTGCATGCTAGAGCACCAAGCTCTTGCACTACTTATAAGTTGAGCATTTATCGCTAGAATACTTGTAAATTTGGGGTTTGTGTGGTATCTTGGACAGTTTTATTGACCCTTTTGGTTAGAACTGGAATCTGCTCCGCTCTACTTCTCCAACTGACCTTGCCTCCTCAAATTATACAAAAAGGGGGAAAGGAAAGAGAAAAAGACTAAGGCAAGCATACACTTAAATAAACTAAAGGGAGAAGAAAGAATCCCACTACTTTTAGAGGACAATTCAATTGAGTACAGTGAGTCGGCACCTGTGAAAAATGATGTACTACAGGAAGAGTTACAACTTTTAATGTTACTCAGTGACCACATTCTTTTGCAAATGGGTTTTTATCAAATGTCTACTGTAAAGTTTTCTGCAGTATCGATTCTTTTTCCTATCTGGTCTCTTTCATAGACTTGGGGTTAATTTTGGTGATTACAACATGCATGCATACTGCTTGAAACATACTTTTGGAAACTAAAAACTGCAGTAAACAATCATAACAAATATCTTGTTACTGTCTTTTATAGTAAAACATCTTCTTACACCCACACCTTTATTTTTTGCTTCCAGCTGCCACAGCAGGAAAACTCATTTGATTGTGGCCTTTTTCTGCTACATTATGTGGAACTTTTCCTGGAGCAGGCTCCGGTCAACTTCAACCTCTCCAAAATAACTGCATCGCCCAAATTTGTAAGCTGTTTCGTCCTTGTTATATCCTTTTGAAATGGAACCGGGGGTTATCATTTTTTATATGTTGGGGGACGTTAGCTGATGGATATCTTGGACTTTAGAGAAGCTTTTGCACTTCATCCATCGCCATCTCTCATTAAGTCGACAAGGTCATTTTGTTTATGGGTGCTTGCTTTTCTGGGTTTTCCGCTATTATTCCTCATGCATTGAATTCTTTTCTCAAATACTTCTCAAAATTTTCTATTGTGACTAATTCGTTTATTTTTTGTTCCTAGAGCTGCTCCAGGGTTTTGATTAATTGGTACTAGTCAGTCTTAATAGATTGAGAATATCTTTCTCTTTTCTGGTATGCATGCTGATTAAAGGGGAATCTATACAATTTTCTTGTAGCTTAGGTAGTATAAGGGGCAGAATGAGAGGAAAAGCTTGAAGATATAGGAATTTGACAAATAGTGCATCTTAGTGGTACATGATAAGGTAAAATTTTAAAAACAGTCTCCCACATTTAAAAAACAGTCTCCTACATGCTCTTCTGGATGTACTTTACACATTCACTATTTATGACCCATTTACAGTGAGGAAAAAAAAAAAACTTTTTCGGGACTTTTAACAATGGAGACGGAGAGAAGGAGGAGTGAAACCTAGCTTTGAGGTGGTTGAGATTCGAGGGGAAGAAGACGAAATGTTAATATTCTACAGAGGACTCAGGACAGAGAAATTCACTTATGGAGAAGTTGGAACTAGACTAGCAAACAAGGCTTCACATTGAGCTGCCAAAGTGATGCAATGTGGAAAAAATTTGGTGCTTTGCAATTTTAGTTGATACTGCTGAACTGCATCATGCAGCTTTAATTATACGAACTTACATATCTGCATTTTTGCATGTTTCTATAGGATCAAATTGGGTTTGGAGTAATAAAGCTCCAGAAAAAATCTAAGGGTAATCTTAATATACCTGTCCTGTAGTTTAGTGAAATTACATAAAGGGGAGCCTACAAGTTATGATGATCCACTGTGCTTGTCTTTCTCCCCATTATCTAGAACTTTTTTTTATTCTTCTATTTATTGTTGTGTCATTTGCTTTACTTGTGGCCTAATGCTACAGACATGCAGTGTGTTGCATTATGTGGCTACAAGATGCCTCTTTTCTCGAGTTATCATCTGTTAACATGCCTCTCTTGCATTTCTGTGAATCATTATTTCATTAGGTTTCATGTTCATAGTTAAAGTTGAATACATATTAATCCGGGAAGATTCTACTGTAGTGGCAAAGGGGTTCAAAAGTTGTTTACCTATAAAATAAGTTGAAGACATTAATCATGGCTCTATTGTAAATCCTATCTTTCATTCCATTTTTAGATTTTGACTGTCCTGCGGAGCTAAGCGACTTAAATTCAGAGTCATTGGTAAACTTGTCTGACTGGCTAGGAATGAGTATCCTGAAGTTGAACTATTTCTTAACAAACTTATATTTTAAAAGATGCAATGTTTGAGATCATATAATGAGCATCTGTTCAATGTAGCTTGCATTTTGCTATATGTAATCATGGTGTTATGATATCGGTGAATTATTGCATAATTTTACTGAACTCTGGGGATTTAGCATTTTTAGCTTGATGCGAAGACTACAATAATATTATTGGGATGATGGGAAACCGTTTTGACAGTTACATATGTGATTGATTGCTGCTGGGTTTATGCTATTGTTTCTTGTGTTGAATAGTTATTCATGTCCTACTGCCACTTTTGGTAATATTCCATTTTTCAGCTTGCTGGAGATTGGTTCTCACCTGAAGATGTTGATTGCAAACGTGAACATATTAAACGTTTGATCTGTGAAATTACAAAAAATAGAGTCCAGAAGGTTTCTTCAGCTGATTCTGATGACAACTATTCTTTACATTGCTTAGAAGAGGAAAATACTTGTAAGAATGTTCCTCAGGAAACTTGCAATGCCAGAGAAGCATGTCCTGGTGGTGACTTGAGCTCACATGAGGCTGAACTTCTTAATATGTCTCCTGTAGCCAACCTTATTAGGGGTTTGAAGAGTGCTGCAGTATCAGAAGTGGTTTCTAGAGATTTGTTGCAAGCACCAGATTCTGCAAAGCCACTTGCTTATGACAATGATGGGCAAAAGGCACTACTGGATCCATTTAGGAATGTCATGTCACCAATAGAGGTAATCGATCTTTATCATTCTGGTGCTTAAGTTTGCTTGACTTTTGATAACAACCAATATTCTGGATGGAAGTCCTTCACAAAATAGTTGCATGGATAGTCGTCAGCTCCCCTTTTGTGGGATTGCTTGTTTTCCAGGGATATATTTGTGAAAAGGGTGGGAACGACAAAACTAAGAAAGTGGCAAGGGCATTAATATCTAGAACCTCATTGTTTGCAGATGTTGGTTATCTTACAATTCTCTTTGGATGTTGAGTGATGAAGGTTGGTGTGGTGCAGGAAAAGTTTGCAACTACTACTTTGGCAAAGCAATCAATTTTTTGTTTCATCTTGCCCGCTTACTAAAGTGGCGCACCTGTATTTGTCCAAATATTTCCTGTTTTACTCCGACGTTCATTTTTTTTCCCCTTTTTAGCCTGAAGTTATCACATTCTTGACAATGTTCCCGTCTCTTATCCAGTTTGTATTCGCATCTGAGCACATCTCCAGTGGTTAACTTAGTTGTCTTGTTTCTTATTATTTTTTAAAAGGAAGAGGCAATTGGGGAGCAGATGTCTATCTCACCAGCCATCAAAGCAGGGAGCCAGTCCATTGAACTTTTTGCAGCAGCACATGCTTCCAGGAGTTCTAAAGCAGAAACCCTGTTTCCTGGAAGAGCTAGTCCTCTTAGCAAAAATATAACTCCAGGTTGTCAAAGTTATGGATGTCGATCTCCATATTCAATAGATGATGAAGAGCGTAAGGCTGAAGTAGAGGAGGTTTCCACTCCTGATGCAGCAAAATTTGACTCACCAATTTCGGAGGAGGAACTTGCCAGCTATATTGTTTTGGACTCTCAGGAGGAAGATGAAAACCATGATCCGAATGGTATGGAAAATAACCTACCCACTACAGCCACTATTTCTGCTTCGTGCCACAAGGAGGTTAACTCCACTGATATCTATGATTATAAAGTAAATGAAAAGATATTGTCTTCACAATTAGCAGAGCAGGCTGCAAAGAAGCCAAGGCCCGTGCCTGAAGTTTTCGAGGTGTCCAGTTCTGGAACAGGGAAAGACGAAACTGCACCTTCTTCAACATCATGTGAGGAAGTTGCAAGCTTATATATCCAGGATTCAGAGGTGGTCAACTCCGTGAATTGTAGTGAAGTAAATAATTTAGGACCAGCAACAGGATCCAGGATCAAGCATGTTGCAGGGCAGATGAGGTATTTGTTTCGCCGTCGACGAAGAGGCGGATAGACCTGCCAGGAGACTTAAATATACATAATTGACTTGCATGCACAGCGTTTTTGGTTGATATGGATTTCGAAGAAAGTAGGTACAACTGTAAATATACCTACTGTCTCAACAATGAATCTTGCCACCTTCCCCTTTGGCCACCTTTTTGTCCAGAACTATCTATGCGGAGGAAATACGTGTATATATATAGACATTTTATGGTTGAATATTGGGTGTTTCTGTTTTCTTTCTTTCAAAAGTGCCGTTTATACACTAACAATGCAGTGCAGTCATTACATACAATAGTTTTGGAAGTCCAACTCGAGCTACCTTCAGTAGTTCAAATAAATTGAAGTTTTTAGATATTAGTAAAGTCTTATTTTAAATCATTCTACTGATAAATATTTTAAGATTTACCCGGTAATTGTCATGCTCCTTAAAATCTGGAAGAAGACCCAAAAAATGATGATGAAATTTCTTGCCAATTGTCGTAGTTGTGTGTACATTTATTCCTAAGCTTTCTTTGCGGGAGAGTGAGGTCGCTGTGTTTGGTAACTTTGCTTTTCAGTAGTTTACTAAATGGACCTCTTAGCCCATCCAATTTTCTGCGACGTCTCGATAAATACTCAACAGCATACTTCTACTTTCTGGAGATCAATTTGGTGCTTTCTTTTTTAAACCATAATGAGATACTCTCCCTGTTTTTAATTGGTAAAAACTTATTCGCACTGGGTGCTTACACATGGCCAATAACCAAAAGACACATGTTGCTTTATTTAATTACAGCTATTAGTACTTAATCATAGTTAACTGTAATGTGTTTGGCACATGATCTTAAACAATTAATTCTGCCGACGATGTCAAAGTTTTCCCCTGTTGCAACTTGCAACTATACAAAGAGTTTATTTAGATCTTGCCAGTTTTCCCTTTTGCTATTATCTCTTTTTATTGCGCCATCCTTCCCCGGCTCACCAATTTTTGGAGTAGAATTACAGCTTCAGTACCGTCCAAGGGCGAAGCTATGTCTGACCAAGGGTGGTCAACTGAACACCCTTCGCCGAAAGATTATATGGCATATAAATTAAAATATACTTGTTATTGATAAAAAATAAGTCCTTGTATAGTTCTTTTTTTTTTTGAAGGGAATTCTTGTATAGTTCACTGTCAAAGGGTGTTTAAATATTGAATATTCTTATTGAATTTTCTGGCTTCGTTACTGGTTCCGTCAGTATATATTTAGATGTTTCTGAATAGACAAATGTTTTGACAACTCATGGAAGTTTTAAATTAGTGAAGAAAGAATGACACAGTCACACAGAACGTGAAAATTAAGAAGAAGAGCGGCAAGTAATAAAAAAAAAAACGAGGAATATTACCGCAATCTCAAAATTTCTAACGTTATGCTATTATAACTTCACTTCCTTTTAAATTGTTTTTATTTAGTTTAAAAAAAGCACCTAGCAGGACCTTAGTTTTTCTTCTATATATGGTCAATTTAACTAAAGTGGGTGTAAACACCGATGCAGATATGTTTTTATCGTTTTAATTTATGAGACATAGTTAGACTCGGCATGAAATTTAATTTTTGTTTTTGTTTTTAAAATTTGTGAACTTAAACATGTCATATATTTGTGTGGTTGTAGGACATTAGAAGCTTGTGGTCTTAAACATTTTATAACATTTATGTATAAAAACTTATCAGTAACAATAAAATGCATGAAATAAAAAAGTTTAAAGTTAAATTATTTCTAAACATAAAAATATGTCATTATTTTTTATATAAACTAATAAGGAAAGTGAGTCATATAAAATACTTTTAATACTTAATATTTTCCATGTTTTGACACTTAGTATGGATAAACATCTTCTTTTAATTGAGAACAAGGGCATTCACGTAGGGGTGTTCATAAAAACCCGAGAAACAGAACCAAACCGACCAAAAAAATCGATACTTTTTGGTTTTGTTTGGTTTGGTTTGGTTTTAGTTTTGAATTTTAAAAACCGATCAAATTTAGTTTGGTTTTGGTTTTAATAAAAAAATACCGAAAAAAATCGAACCAAACCGACAATAGGAGTAGCTATTTTAAGTTTATTATTACACCTATATATATGTATCAATAGGTCAATTTCAAAATTTTTACGGTGAATGTTAATCGTTTGCACTTTTAGTATAGTTCTTTACCTTTATATTCTAGTTTGATTGGTAGTTTTCTTTTGTTAAGCGTAATATATATAATATTATTATTATAAAAGCACGAATATAATATTGATAGACCAAAATAGCCCTAAAATATTAAGCAGAAGAACTCATAGGAAAATGACATAGCTGTAATAACTTATTTTTTTGGACTACAATAACATCTATTTTAATTTTTTTAATGTTTAAGATTTTAAAGTTAATACAATCTTATCTATTGAATTTTTATTAAAAATATGCAGGAGAGTTTAATAATATCAGTTTCATAAGAATCCTCCATATTGGTAATACATTACCACTTTATAATATTCAATACCAAAAAATAAAAGTAATGCTAAACGGACTGCATAAAGCGTGAAATTGAGAAAAAAATCCCCACGTTAATATATTATTATATTATCTTTATCACGACCCGAAATCCATCAAAGGCCGTGAAGGTGCCGGACACCTCGGTCAGGCAAGCCAGCATTAAATAATTAATTTAACTCTCATTTTTAATATTTTAGAAACCATAATTTCCTTTAATTTAACTAGTAAAAAGTAATCATCACTGAATAAATAAAAGTGTTTACAATTTTTAATATTAAACATCCCATAATCACCCCAGAACCGATGTCACAAGTGCATGAGCAATCACTAGGAGAAACAAATGAAATACAATAACTGTCCGGAATACAAATTTGCACAGAAAGTAAATACAATAATCTGAAGGAGACTCTGCTGGCTGCGGGTCGTCTCGAGAGATGCAGCTCACCTAAGTCTCCGTATCAACCATGCTACTACGCCCACTAGGCTACTAGAGAAACAAAAATGCATAACAAGTGTAGTATGAGTACGAAAACAACGCGTACCCAGTAAGTATCTAGTCTAACCTCGAAGAAGTAGTGACGAGGGACCGACTCCGACACTTACTAGTAGTCCAATAGTATCGGGTACAGTAAAGAGGTGAATAACATGAAACAAAACATATATATGAAATAAGCAAGTATAATCACGTGATACAATTCCCCTCTTTATAATTTTACTCAAGCTCTCATCTAGCAAGTTCCCTCCGAAACTGGAGCATATATAGATATGGTGGTTTTCATTAAGGAAGTTGTCATAATTCAAAACAGGGAAAAATTCCCCAGGTTCATTGGCTTCTAGCAAAATATCACGCACGATTGCATGAGAATAGTATATATATATTGGAAATGCCAAGGCGTACGGTCCGATCCAACATAAAAGTAAACTTTGCACTGCCGAGGGTCGAACGGCACGAACCATAGATGCATCTATTAACCTGCCGAGGCAATTGGCCCGCTTTCATGAGAGTAGTAGAAGTAAGTACCTCGATCGCGAATCATACGTGCGACACGGTCAAATATAGATTTAATGAATTTCCTCGCTCGCGAATCATATATGCGACGCGGTCAAATATGAATTTATTAATAACACAAAATCCTTTTCTTGATTCTTTTCAGATATAGAGACAATTCAACATGAGGCTTTTAAGGTAATTTTCCCCGCTCGCGAACATATATGCGACACGGTTACACATAGATTTCTTACGTTATTATAAGATTCCTCAATTTTTTTTGAAAGTACTAAGTTTAATGGAAGCACTTAAATTCTTAAATTCCTTTATTAAAATACCTTTCAACACAATTATTATGCAACGTCAAATCTTATTTCGCTTCAAGGCAAACAGTAACATCGATAAAAAACAATATCAACAAAGCATGATGTAACCTAAGACTACCCGGACATAGGCATAATAGTAGCTACGCACGGTCTCTCGTCACCTCGTGCGTACGTAACCCCCACAATTAGGAACACATATTTAATTAATTCACCTATGGGGTTAATTCCCTCTTGCAAGGTTAGAAAGGAGACTCACCCCGCTCCAAAGTTACATAATCGGCATTCCATGCCCTTCTGATGACTCAAATCGATGCCAACGCTCCCAAAACTATCCAAATAATGGGCAACCAATGAAAATATACCCTAATACTTATAACAATTCAATTTAGATAAATTTCCAATTCCGCATTGAAAAGTTGACAAAATCGCCCTCGGTTCCACTTGCCTGGATTTCGAAATTTTTCGAAGATAAACTCTATCTTGTAATCTCGCGAACTCAAATATATAATTTACTCTCAATTTCATGTCCAAAATCGTGGTCAAAATCCAATTTCTAGGTTTTCCTCAAAATCCCTTCTACTAATTTCCATGTTAAAACATATACTTAATTGGTGTATTCAACTCAAGCTAGTATAAACCACTTATCTCATGCTTGGTGGTGAAAATGGCACCTCAAAGTTGCTCCAAAATCGGCTCCCATGGAAGAAATGGGGTTGAAATGAACCAGACCCCCGATTTTAAAAACCTCACTGCCTCCAGCATTTCCGCACCTGCGGTCACTTGTCCGCTTCTGCGGTTCCGCAGGTGTGACCCATAATCTGCTTCTACGGTCCTCCTCCAGCCCCTCAACATCCCCATCTGCGCCCTTCCTTCCGCAGGTGCGGTCCCGCTTCTGCGGCGACATGACTGTATCTACGGTGCTAGCTCTCCTAGCCTAGATCGCACCTGCAACCCTCGTGGCCGCTTCTGCGGCGCCGCACCTGCGGCCAAAACCTCGCAGGTGTGGTTACACCAGAAGCCGAGCTGCTTCAGCCCTTCCTCCTAGTCCAAGTTCGATCCGTTTACCATTCAGAATCCACTCGGGGCCCTCGGGACCTCAACCCATTATACCAACACATCCCAAAACACATTATGAACTTAGTCGAGCCTTCAAATCACATCAAACAACGCTAAAATCACGAATCACGCCCTAATTCAAACTTGATGAACTTTAGAACTTCAAACTTGTTCATTCGATGCCGAAACCTATCAAATCACGTCCGATTGACCTCAAATTTTGCAAACAAGTTATATTCGACATTACGTACCTACTCCAACTTGCGGAATTAGAATACGACCTCGATATCAAAAAGTCCACGTTCGGTCAAACTTCTCAAAAACCTTCAAATTTCTAACTTTAGCCAAATGACTCCAAAATGACCTACAGACCTCCAAATTCACTTCCGATCGCGCTCCCAATACCAGAATCACCATACAGAGCTACTCGCAGAATCAGAATCCCAAACGGACATCGACAACACTGAAAGTCACTTCAACCCAAACATA